GAATAGACCCAAGGCTCTTGAAAGTTTGCGCATAAGGGTTACGCTCTAGTATTTGCAGAATCTTTCGTATGAGGTCTATATTAAGATCTGGAGACCTAGTAGCCCTGTGAACCAAGTCTTGATCTGTATCATAAATATAGAGCTGCAAATGCCGAGGGCCATTATCAGCCAGCACCAGATTATCAAGAGCGTGGTACAGCCCACCACATGCACGGAATGTATACACGCCAGTTCCTGCGGCAGTGCTTACTCGGCAATCAAGGGTGACGCCTAGACTTGTGAATGAGAAGTGCGAGTTGAAATATCGTATATTCTCTCTGAAATATTTAGCATCCTCATCTTCTTGACTTGTAAACAACCGTTTCAATTCTTCTGGAACCTCTGGAGTAAATATACTGACTTTTCCTTTTCTGCAACAAAACGTTGGCCCCTCGAACGGAAAACGCAATGCCCCACAATGAAGGCAGTCTGCAACCTTTCTCAGGACATGGTGCTTTGTAGGTAGGTTTTGGTATATGAATTCATCAGTATTTGACATGTGTGGTGCTCGTGTAGTATTGCGTCCAAGTTGGTATGATTCGAAAGCAACACCTAGCACAGAAGAGGACATGCATTTAATTATGACTCATACTAATAAAACGTGCACTTGAGTGTGTTAAAATGGCAACTACACAATGCGCATACCTCTATCCATATATATTATAGCTTCTTCATCAGGCTCATGGTATGCAGCTTGTCCATTAGGCAATGGTTCCAAGTAGTCTAGATGGCAATACATTGATCAATCGTAAATGATGAAAATTTACTGAAGAAGAACTTGATATGTGAACAGAATAACAATTATATATAACATACCATCTAAATTGGCTTGTTCAACAACGGGCTCAAAAATTCCATATGGATCATCTGTCTAGTCGTTGCCTAGTATAGAAAACCATAAGATCAGAAGAGGATAATATATATTATAGGTATTATTAGTGGGCCTAGGTTCGTCAAAAGTGTGTCGCAGATGTTGAGTGTTTTCAGTACCTACTATGTCCACTTCAGTAGGGCATATATTATCCTTTTCTGGTGAATTATCATGTACATAGGAGTTGGAAAAAGGCTCTAGAACTGAACAAATAAACATTGTGGACACATATGCAAAAGCCTTAAATCGACAAAGTAACATGCATCTTCAATTGTCAAACCTGGGTATATTTGGTTATGTGTTCACAACTAATTACATACAGAAGCTGATTACAGCCAGAATGCATGGAACACTATCTACCGAATCCAGTTTTAAATACCTTGTGCAATATCCGTGATGATGGGTTTAATTGGTTTGGTTTTGCTGGCAAGAGGCATAGTAACAGCTTTTATTCGTCCTGCTATTTGTTGCATGTAGTACGCATCATTCCTGTGCAGCCAACTGGATTCATCTTCCTGTGTTAAATTGTTCTCCTTGTTCTCCTTGTAGTGGGGAACGCATTCAGGTGACTGAGATGAACTTGGTATATTCGACAGGCCTGCAAGAGAGTTGCAGTACCACATGAGTACCCTGCACTTATGGGCATATTTGGTGAGGTAAGAAGATGCAATCAATATCTTATGGTAGAAAAGTAGTACTGGGAGATGTAAATTTTTGGAGCTGGGTGACACCGGATTGTCCTGTAGCTGGTGTGTGTGATATAGTGGTATGGTCGGTCAGGATGGCAGTTGTAGCATTTCTCTTCTCACGAGATAGGCGTTGTCGTTTTAATATTTCATCTCTGTTTTGTGCATACCGCTCCCTGTCCCTCTGCCTCCTTAATTCCTTAGGATCTGCGTAGATAATAAAACTAATTAGTGTAAATAGACAGGTAATATGTGCCCAACACAAACATTTTTTTTTCATCTCTACCATATTACAAGTAATATGTGCACATAAACATGTATAACCGATCTATTCAAGCCAAATATTAGTCTTTAATCGAATGGCTTCCTAATAAAGTTAGAAAAAGGATTGGTTATAATTTTCACGTGTAAGGTGGAGGATTGTTTCTCTACTTTTTTTGTCATTGTTTTTTGGGTACATCCTTTTTATTCCGTTTCATCCATTCGTTACCGGTCTCATGTAGTTTTTGCTTCGTTTCGTATGTTCGTTGCCGGTCCCTCAAAAAAATAGCAAGCATAGAGGGATTCGAAGCATGGTTGCGAGGACTCACGAAGCAACTCATCCAACTAAGGATCCTGCAGAAAGAGAGGGAGCTTAGACCGTCTCGCCATAGGTGGCATTCATTTACGGTCGGAAAACCTCCATCATCTACTATTCCTTTCTACAAACCTCCTTCCTATATGTACATTGTGGACCACGGTTGCGGACGTGCTACGCCATGGGCTGGAGCTCCAGCGGAAGGAGCGGGAGATGGGGCTACTAGAGGCCATGATCGAGGAAGATGGCGATGATGATGATAAGATTGGGAAGGAGAGGGTGGAGGGAAGGTCATGGGAATCGAGCCACCACAATCGACGACATGTGCGGCATGCAGCGCCCCCCCACTGTGGCCTTGATCCCGCCCATCTGGTCACGCGTTAGCGCGTGTATCCTGCCTTGAACCATCATCCTAGAGAACATTGCCGCAAATAGATCCACCGTTTTTGCCATCAACAACCATTGTCCTGCGAGACAATTCCTTCACTGAGGCAAACCTTGATTCATGACAACTGGTATTTTCTCCATAGCGAAGCACGAACGTTGTGTTTATCGTGCTAGGGACAAGTGTTTTTCTTCCCCGTTGCAACGCACGGACATGTTTGCTAGTACATACATACATACATACATACATACATACACTACCTGGATTTAGAGATAACAAACAGTACATACGAGGTACAAACGCCTACGTACGGCCGGGAAACACATCCAACTCTAGCTGCCGCTGGGAGACGCCAATCTTCCAGCGCCGTCCTCCGGTAGCTCCCCTCCACCGGCGACCTCGGTCGTCGGTGGTGAGGGGGGTCACCGGATCCACGCGTGTGGATCGTTTTTCCTTTCTCGTAGTATGGGTTTTTAGACTATTCATCGTCTTGGCTTTGGTGGTGAACATGATGGTGTTGAATAAAGATTCTTCGGATCCTTCTCTGACAAGGCCATCGGCCCTATTGTTGGAGATGGATTTGTAAATCAGTCTGTTCAATAAAGGATGGCGTGGCGGTGGCGGCATCCTCGTGGTGGACCTGTGTCCTCGGGCTCTGCCGTTGCGACGACATTTGCTCCAGCGTCGGCGCGGAGCTTTGGAGGTAGTCCAGGAGCGGATGCAGATTGTGGTCTGCATCGACGACATATGGAAGACGGAACGTGTGCTGAGTTTGTGGTTCGTGGATGGCAGGTATGGTTTCCTCCTTCGGCGTCTTAGTCGTGGTGAGTGCTAGATCTGGAGTTTGATGGCGTGTCAGGTGTGTTGCCCCGGTCTGATTCATTCAACGTCAATGGCTTCACTTTTGGTGAGCCACCTTGGAGGTCCGCAAAGCTGCTTTTCAGCGACGGAGCCGCGTCGAGCTCGGGTGAGGAGGTGATCTGTCATTCTTTTCTTTGGTGGCTGCTATGGTGGTGCCGGAGGCCGGTGACGGGCGTTGGTGTCAAGCTCAGAGATACTCTGATATCTTTCCAGTTCTGTCATGTCGGTCATTGTGTGAATTTATTTTGATCATTATGATATGAATGAAACACGTATTACCATGCAAAAAAACAGTACATGATATACGTATCCTCATGCAAAGTATATTTTAATACATTTTTACACATATGTAATATATAGATACAGGTGGAATTATTTTCAGATTTCATAAAAACTTTTAAATAGGATTTCTATTGAACAAAATTCTGGGTTCACTAGGCGCGGCCGCTAATCACCTCGCTCGTTCAATGGATCATCTCTTAGTTTGTATATCACGTGATGCAGTAATTTTGGATAACTGAAAATGGATAATGGATTTGAGATACTGATCATACTCTTTGAATGCACCAAATCATCTCGAGGGCGCTCTTTTGGAATACATATGACATCATCTGTAGCTCGAACATCTGGGGTGAGAAAACAACAAAACGAAAACCAAGAAAGTAGACCGGGTCATGTGCCAGGCCACGAAGATATATGTTGACATTTGACAATGGAATGGAGACAAAAATAGGAAGCTTCATGGAGGAGAATGAAAACAAAAAAGGCACTAAACTACAGACATCTATCTCCTGCACGATATATATTTCCTTCTCTTCTTTGTAAATGATACATCTTTCTTTCTCTCTCGCTTCTTTGTAATTAAGACATGTAACGTATGCACATGTTATATATATGAGTTTAGGCCTCCACATTTTCACGGTGCCATTCAATCACAAGTATACGAATGCAAACCCTCTCCTTGCCCGGTCAAAGCAAGTAAAAAGACCCTCTTTGTACTAATACAGATGATATCATCTATAGCTCCAGCATCGGGAGAAAACATCAAAACGAAAACCAAGACTGGCCCACGAACAGATATGCTGACATTTGACAATGGACGGAAAGAAAAATAGGAAGGTTCGTGGAAGGGGAATGAAAACAGAAACGACACTAAACAACAGACATCTATATCCTTAGGATATATAACTCTTTCTCTTCTTTGTAAACGATATATCTTTCTATCTCCCCATCTCCATTCAACCGAAAAAACCGAACGTCTGCAGTGCACACACGAACGGGGAGCAGAGCGCCTTCCACCTCTGGACCGCAAGACTTCCACCCCCGTCTCCTCCTACAAATAGCCCCCTGCATCCTCCAGACCTCTCACCACCTCTGGTCCTTCTCCTCTCAAATCCACATTGTTCTGTTCTTCCTGTCGCGAGGAAGCCATTGTAGGCGGTGAAACAATAAGGGATCTAATAGAGGTTTTGGGTTGTGCTCTTGATTGTTGCGGGGTTTGTGTTGGTTACCCCCGTCGTTTTCTAATTAGTGGTTTCTTGATGGCGTTTGCCTTGCCAGGTGGGAAGAATTTCGGAGAACATGGCGGCTATGGGTGGGGATGAAAGGCAGAGGATGGAGGCTCCGGCAGGGGACAAGTTCCCCGAGGGGCTGCGCGTGCTCGCTGTGGACGACGACTCCGTCTGCCTCAAGGTACTGGAGGACGTTCTGCGCCGCTGCAAATACAACCGTGAGTCTTTCCGCCCTAGTCCATTAGAATCGGAGCTAGGTGATCCTTTCTTCTTTCTGTGAGTAATCCTTGCTGCTGTACAGCAACGACCGTGACAGACGCGAAGACAGCGTTGAAGATGCTGAGGGCGGGGAAGGCAGAGTTCGACATGGTGATCACCGACGTGCACATGCCAGGCATGGACGGCTTCAAGCTCCTTGAGCTCATCCACCTTGAGATGGATCTGCCCGTCATCAGTACTCTCACTGCTCAACTTAAAGTCTTTTTTTTTAATTTTAACATGCCATGAGCTGGCAATTGTCTTCAAGAGCGTACTTTTACTACCCCGCAAAAAAAGAGAGCGTACTTTTACTCCTGAATTTTGGAGATCCAGGATATTAATTAATTAATTTTGGAGAAAGTATACAATTGCACCGCACCCATTTGCTAGGTTGGCATGAAATATACAATTCGGAAATTACCTATATTGTGTTCACATTATTAAAGGATTACTCATCTTTTTTACGGGTAAAGGATTACTCTTCTTCAATCTCCTTGAGATTGTTAGTCTTGAAAACTATTTACTCTTGAGACTATATAGCATATAAAGTAGGAGTACCACTTTTAAGTAGATACATTGAGTAGGCTAATGATAATATCCACAATCTTGCAGATTTCTTGACTGCTATAGTTACTTTTTAGCCCTTGTTTCTATTTATTTCTATTGAGAGTGTGAAATTTGTCCCATTTAATTTTCTTTGAAACACCAAATTTATCATGGCCATGATATTGTTTGAAAATCATATGTAATGCATTTGCTTCCTCGATTGCGTGGCACATTTGAAGAACATTTAAACTTTTTCTTCCCTTAAGCATTGGGGAAAACATCATGTCCAGTTCTTAGATTTTTGTGAAGTTACAAATTCCAAAGCTAAGTTACGGGCCATATGTCATGCAGTGCTATCTGTGGATTGCGACAAGAAGGCTATGATGAAGGGCATAACACATGGGGCGTGCGACTATTTGGTGAAGCCAGTGTGCACCAACGAGCTAAAAAATATATGGCAACATGTTGAAAGGAGGAGAAATTTTGAAGCAAAAACACACATCAACAACAACAACAACAATGATCATGATGATGATAGAGTGCAGCCAAGGACTGCTGCCACGAGCAAGGACTCGGAGAATAAGGGCAATGAAGAATATGATTCTAACAAGAACCAAGAGATCACACACATATCCACCACCTGGAAGAAGCCAAGGGTGGTATGGACAACTGAGCTTCAGAACAAATTTCTAGAAGCTATTGACCAGATCGGCCTAGACAGTAAGACTTCATATTTTTTTGCCTCATTCATTGATACAATTCTTATATTTCTGTGATTGTTTCCACTAAGAAATTTTATTACTTTTTTGTAGAGGCCGTTCCAAAAAAGATATTGGAACTAATGAAAGTGGATTACCTCACCAGAGACAGTATCGCAAGTCATCTATAGGTTTATTTTTGACCAATATCCTTATATTCACTCCCTGTGTTCCTATTTTTTTTCATTCTAACATTTTTTCATAGATAAGTGCAAGCTTTTATTTTGTGGGGAAACTATCAATGTAAGCTTTAGTAATGCACCTAACATGAAGATGTGTGTAATTACAATTAATTTTTTCCCAATAATGAGTCTTCTTATACCGTCGATGCTCTACACTTTCAAGTATTATTGTCCCTATAATGGGTCTTCTTATACAATGGATTCCCTACACTTTTTGCTGCCACATGTCTATCCTTACTTTTTCCCATGAGCGTGCTTCTCATACCTGGTTTATTTGTCTATCTTTTTATTTCAGAAGTATAGGTTGCACTTGAGAAGAGTCAAACCAAATCGAGTTGGTGATGCCTCTGAAAGACATAACTCATCCTACAACAACATGAACAACCACGGGAGTTTCATGCGTAACCATGAACATGAAAGATGGTGTATGTCCTCTGGTCTTTTAAGTCCAAACAATTTTTCTGCAATGGGTCACTTAGCTCAGCCGGCGAACACACATAGAAACTCGTGCACGGGGTCATTCATCCATGATGGTAGAATGTACAAGTATGTCGCACCAAAACTGTCAGATGCGGGAAGATTCGCTGGCTCCATTGACCCTCCTGCCAACCTATACAACAACATACCCAATGAAACAACTTTAGATGAATTTCCTTCGTATAGTTTTGGCGATTCCTATGCTGGCCGCATGCGTGGTAAGCTGGTGGAGACAAACAAAGGCAAGTTTCCAGACCCTTCATACAATTCTGCAACACATGCGACGTTGACTGGTGTTCTTCATAGAGGTATAATATCTCCCATCTCATCAAATGTGAATGTAGAGGTGCAAAATGAAATGGCAACGGTCATAAGAAATGCTACATCTATGGCAGGCTTCAATGAGCAGATTGTTCCAAAAAATGCACCTAGCAACCAAAGCTTCGTAGGGATGTTGAATGCCTGCGGCAGTCGTCCAGTGTCATCATCTGAGATGGTTAAGGGAGGGAGCAGCAGTATATCAGTAGATGGCTTGAGTGAGCGGATGGCACCATTCAACATAGCAAAAAACACAAGCTCAGTCGGAATGATGTTGAATGAAAACACCGCACCTGGTAATGGTAGAATCTCAATGACACATACAGATATGGTTAATAGTGGAAGAACTATTTCTACACTTTCCAACCATCAGACAGAAAATGTTGTCGCAATAACTGACAAGCTTGATGGCGGGGATGCAGTTAGCAATCACCCTATGCAAGTGGGTACTATTGGTCAGCATGCACTTAATGATCAATTTAATGACATCAATGACTTCTCATGGGATGATTTTTTTCTCAACCCGCTGGATGCAGTAAGTACTTTTCTCGTTGGCTTTTATCTAGGCATTGTATATGAATTGTTGAGTTGGACATGTGTATTTAAATCAAAGTTTACTTTCTCACTGTAGGATTTCACTATCGAGGATGATTTCATGGGTGGAGAAGAATAGTTCTGTCTATTAGCCCAACCTGTGCACGCGATGTTTTCTGCATGTGCGTTGGCAACTTGTACACTAATCATTCGTCTGTTCTTGCACGTTGTATCATGAAATTGTGTGTACCAGTGTATTCTAGGTGGAAGCATGGTCTTGCTGGGTAATCTATTTTACATGAGCTTTAGATTTTAAGTTAGTGTTGTATTTTGAGATCCTAAATGATGTTCTATTATGTTATGTCAATTGTAGTTAGTTTAATTATCTATGTTACCATACGATGCATCTCTTTTCTGAGAGAACCTTGCAAACTAAAAAGCACGTTACCCTATCTATGAGAAGGGCCTTAGGACCCATGCTTCAGACACACCCGAACGAAAATGCATGATCGATTTGATATACTAATCATACTGTTTCAATGCACCAAAACAATTAGGTGAGAATTGAGATGAGGCCGGGTATTAATTTGAGATATCATCTCCAAGACCCTCTTTTGTAATACACAGATGATATCATCTATAGCTCCAGCATCGGGAGAAAACAACAAAAACAAAACCAAGACCGGGCCACAAACAGATATGTTGACATTTGACAATGGAATGAAAACGAAAATAGGAAAGTTCGTGGAGGGGAATGAAAACAGAAAAGGCACTAAACAACAGACATCTATCTCCTGTAGGATATATATTTCTTTCTCTTCTTTGTAAACGATATATCTTTCTTTGTCTCTCTTGTTTGTAATCAAGATATGTAACGCATGCACAAGTATAAGAGTTTAGGGCACTACATTTTCAGGTTGCCATGCGAGTAGGTAGGGTTGGGATCTGGCCACTGAGACGATGACCGTACACTCTCTGTCTGCCCGGTCAAAGGAAGTAAGAAGCAAGATCCCTCCTCTTCTCGCCATAGTCCATTACAAATTTACAATCGTCGCCATGTGATCCTTTTTTCTCTGCTGCTGTACAGCAACGACGGTGATGGATGGGAAGACAGCATTGAAGATGCTCAGGGCGGGGAAGGAGCAGTTCGACCTAGTGATCACCAACGTGCGCATGCCAGGCATGGACGGCTTCAAGCCTCGAGCTCATCCGCCTCGAGATGGGTCTGCCCGTCATCAGTACTACTCTCACAGTTCAAAACAAAGTGTTATTTTTTAGCATGCATAGTAAGTATCTCAAATTTTTATCAAGTGAGTTCAAATGGTATACTATTAAAATGATCCTTGCAAAAATAAATAAAATAAATGGCAGAAAATGTTTTGATGTCACTCAAATTGTATTTTCAAAAGTGTGACGTATTTGTGATCATGATTTTAAAATTAAAATAAAAACAATTATCAGTTTTTTACAAAAAGTTTTGTAAAAACTTTTAAGTAAGCATGCACGTGCAACACACGTCTCAACAAAACAAGTTCACATGATATAACAGTAAAATGATTTTACAAAAAAATTCAGATCTCTATAAAATGTTGTCATGTCACTCAAATTGTATTTTCAAAAAGTGTGACATATTTGTGATCCAACACATGAATCATAATCTATAGTAAAAACATCTATTCTGGATCTAATTTTTGTTTTGGTGAGTTCTTTTACCGAGCCATTTAAATGTGTCTTATGCGCAAAGATATGAGTGTGGGTGTAACACACGATCCAGGAACATGTCTCCGCATAAAATTCACTGTCACATAATAATTGTATTATAATTTTGACAAAAAATATACCATCCACAACCCACAAGATGACCTGCATGATAACAAAACTTAAATATACTCAATAATTTTTTATCATTTTTATAGGGATTCATATTACTTAAAATCATCAAATGAAAATGACAGTAACAAGCTGTGATGAAAACAAAAATCTCACCCACACAGCAGGTGAACAGGACATGCCCTTTGAAATATAATGTTTATTTTAGAAGATAATTTTATTTTGTTTGGGCATTGCCGCACTCACTCGCAAAAAATGCCTCATTCACTTATAGTCACTCAGAGAATCACTGCTTAGTACTCAGCACGCGGAGTAGTACTTAGTAGTATAGAGATTAAAAAAAATTCTCAGTCAACCTTCCACCGCCCCTCACACTTCTCTCTTCCCCATTCTTTCCTCACTCCCTCCTAATCTCGCGATCCCCATCCACAGCCTGAGCTCTCTGGTGGCCGCCCCTCCCCTTCGTCAACGACGCCGGCGGACAAGCAGGCCCCGTCCCTCCCCTTCGTCAGCACCGCCGGCGGGCGCGTAATCCCCTGGTCTGCCCCACCCCTCCCCTTCGTCAGTGACGCTGGCGGACGCGCAGGCCCCTGCTCTGCCTCGCCCCTCCCCTTCATCAACACCGCCGGCGGGCGCGCAAGCCCCTGCTCTGCCCGCCCCTTCTTCCTATCCGGTGACACCGGGGCCCTCCCTTCTCTGGCGACGGCGGGGCGCTCGAGCTCGGCATGCTCGCCAGCGACGCCGAGGCCTTCCCTCATGGTGATGCACTCGCCCCCTCCTCCTGGTGACGGCTGGCCGCTCATGCTCGACATGGTCGCCGGCGACGCCGCGCCATGAACTTCCCTCCCCCCTGCTCAGGACGCCATGAAGGTCCGGTTCCAACTCTTCCTCCCCTCGATCCGGATGCTCTGCTCTATGACCCCATCTTGATTTCCCTATTCGTTTCGGTCAGGAGCAGGAGCAGTTGCTGCTCGTGACCTCCATCTTGATTAGGATGACCACGATGACCTCCGCGGGCTGTGCTGCTACTTGGGACCCCCCCCCTATGCTTCTCCTCGCTCGTCCTAGTCCAAGTTAGTCTCTCCGACCCCGAGGATTGCTCGTCCCCGTCAAATCGGTGCATAGGATTACTTCATTCTGCAGTCTGTATATTTCAGCTTGTATAGTTTGACATATGCATACTTTATTCTCAATTGTGCAGATTTTTTTTGTGATGTAAGTAATGGGGAAATACAAAAAACACATAATGCCGATTGCTTTGAGCCGTTGTATTAGAAGGTATACCCATCTCTTTGCAGTCTGCTCTTAATACAGTCTTCCCTTGTTTCTTCAGAATGTTTCTTTGATTTTTTGTGTGCGTTCTTTTATACCTATTTATACACTGAAAGTTTACCTTTCTCTACAGAAATATAATTCTTGTATCCTTTGTCTTGCCAGTTAATTAAGTAATGTACTCTCAGTGGCCGTATTGGACAGGAGGGGCTAGAGAAGTGCTTCCAGTTGTTTGAAGAATGTGAGTCTGACATCATAGGTTTCCATTTTATGAAGAAACCATCAAGGTGAGTTTGGCACTTATGTTTTATTATTATTATTGCTGCTCATGTATGGTCAGAGAACTTTCCAATGACAAGATAGATGCTAATAGCTTTTTCATCCTCGGTATAGCCAATCACAATGTCGTCAGGGAGTTAGTTTACCAAGCCATTTAAATGTGTCTTATGCACAACGATATGAGTGCGTGTGTAACACATGATCCAGAAACATGTTTTCGCATAAAATTCACTGTCACATAATAATTGTATAATCTATTACAAAAATATATTTTAAAAACCGCAACTAAGCATGTCTTGAAGGTCCACCTTTTGAAGCAATGAAGGTCCATCTATAGATGCAATCAATGATGCTTCGTTCAATGTATGGGATATTATTTTGAGCTTCATTCTCATCATACTTTAAAAGATGCACCAAAAATTGCTTCCTCAGCTGAAAACCATCCTACATATGCATTATACAACATTGTTGTAACAAGTTGCATGTGCAATGTGTATACAAATAAGCATAGTGTCAATACTTACGTTGGGTATGGGAAAATATAGTTTTCCATCGCACAATGAGTGCATGTAATTAAAAACCAAATAACCGGACAGGGCACCTCATGTATGAAATAAACACATAATGTGAGTCGAATGAATCAATTAATATTGTAATGCGTTTAAAAGATTCATACCGATGTGAATTTGTTGGAGCAACAGGAACTATGCATTCCCATTTAGAGATATCATCCTTGAATGCAGGGTTTGCAACTTCAAGCGCAAGGTTTAGGTTGTCAACCATAATTTTAAGTACATTATTCCCAAACATAAACAATAGAAATAGCCCAAACATATACCAAGGCAATAAAATCTGCAATGATGAGATAGTTTAGAAATAAATGGAATATTAATTAAGACCAAATAAAGCACCGTTAGAGATGAGAAATTAAAATCTTACCGTATTACATTGTGAGATATGATAATCATTACTGTCAGGCCAGCTATGAAACAACCGTTTCAATGTAGCAATTTCCACATTTTCACGATGACTTGAGTCTCGTGCATAGTGGAACATCGACTAAAATAAGAATGAGAAAATATTAGTGCAATGAGGAAAAAATGTAATACATGATTATAGTAACTTACACAAAAGTTCAGATCCATATAGTGAGATGGAATGTCTCTGAGAAGCTGGACTTCGTGGCGCGCTAGTATCCGCACAGCCATATTAAAGCAATGTATATCCATGTATTCATCATTGTTCAATATGTTTTTTATTTGTGACAAATTTAAGCTAATAGGGTATGGCTCAGAGCTTTTCACCCATTCGCTCCTGTAAAGTCGAAATACTTTCAATTATAATGACATCAGAGTAATTTATTGGAATACAAAATGAATTAAAAAAATATGGCTTACTCTAGTAGAGCGACATCATCAACCATGCTGATAAACAAGCATAGTTCATCTATTAAATCATCATTTATTGGATTGACAGACGGTGAAAGTATAAATGATTGCGAGATTACTCGACTTCTCCTGATGTATTTGATGTTTTGAAATTCTCAGGAGGTCTATCCAGAATCATACATTCCGTGGGATCTGAGTTGTTGTCGTCATCTTCCATGTCTCGATTTCTTATGTTATCATCATTCAATTCTGAGTCCACTAAAATGACAGCTAGTTTTGTTCTAAAATCTGTCATATGTTCCTATTAAAATAGTAATAAGAGTTAAATAGTGATACAACATAGAATAAGTATAATGATACAGAGTGTAAA